CTGTTTTCATGAGCTATATATTCAGTCATTCAGTATTTGGAAAGTTTCAGAATAGAGTTGCCGTTATCATATTTAGCTTAAAATATGCCAGAAGGCAGACCTGGATTCATTTCATATGGGAAAATTATTCCATAGATTCAGAGAGTTTCCATAGATCCAAAGAGTTTCCTGTCAGGTAGATTTAGCCAGATATTCAACTTATATGGACCTTCTCCAAGCTTTATCCCAATTATTTGGATCATAACTATCATTATTACAAGTTTAAATATTTGATTCCAATTCCAATCTTAAAACTAAAATGGAAATAAGACATATAACTGAATTTGAAAATATGAGGTACTGAAGATGCACTTATCTTTTTTCGTAATGGGATCTTAGATATTCAAGGACTCAAAATCAGTTTTTTACAGGTTTTTGCCCTATATTTGTTACTTTGGCAGCTTACCATACTGTATGCTGTAGAGTTTTACCTGCCCCTCTTTGTGAGCTGGGCTGCACTTGCAGGCCTTTACAGAACTTTTATCCTAGTATAAAAACTGAATTGCATTTAAATTATAGTATCATTTAGACTGGTCAAATAATTGCCTCTAAGCCAAAAAAGATCTGTAAAATTATATTGTTAAATCTACAGTAAACAAAAGGTTTCATGGCATTTCTTTAATAGATGAGCTGTTCTGTAAACCCACTTCTTTGTGAAAAAAATAGTTTGGCCTGTATGAGCTTCAGAGCTTCACCACAATGACATTATTTACTATAATACAGCCTTGGGCAAAGCAAGTTAAAAACAAAATCTCATCAAAAGAGAACATTTAAACTAGAAGGCATCTTTTGTATTAGAAGTTACTTTCATTTCCTTTGGCTGAATAATTCTTTTGTGATAGTTATGTAGAGAAATAGCCTAATGCAGTAAACTCTGTGAATTGTGGAAGCTGCACAAATGTTATCACTAGACAATAACTAATTCCCAGAGAAGGTACCAAGACAATTCACAGTTCTACCATGGCAAAAATTGTAGCAAAAGTTCCCTTTAAAAGAGCATTTTTACAAAGATAGACGGAGGTTTTAAAAATGGTGGAAGAGAAATAGAAACAGAATAAGAAAAAAAATTATTTGGTTACCTAATAACACAATGAAGACAGATTATGTTCATATTTTTGTTGATTCTTTTACTAATTTTTCTGTTAATCTCAGAAGTGTTTTCTATCTGGTGAAAGTGCTATTACAACATGTTGCAACACAGCATGCCAGAAACAAGCAGCAGAAAGTGAAGTGACCTTAATCCTACTGTTCCTAACCCACCTAAAATGTTCAAAGATACTGCTAAAAAAGAAAGAATGTTTGTTTTATTTTCTCCTTTTATAACTCGGAGTTGTTTTATATATCAGAAACTCAAACCAGATTTTTGAAAAGCTTAGGGGATGTGATAGAATACAGTTTGGAATAAATATGGCATATTGAGGGATTGTGATTACACAGACAAATATGTTAAAAAAATGCTTTCTCGTTTTCCAGACAGGTTAAACAATTCCATTTCACTGAACAACAGTGGCTAATTGTATAAGTGAGGAAGAGAAGCCCAGATCTGTTTTACTGTTAAGGTAACATGGCAACATTTCTTTTCTATGCAAGTCTATGAAAGCCCATCATGACCAAAATAACATCAGATTAAATAGATGCCAGTGAATTTCTTGAAGATTGTATAGTGTCTGGATTTTTTTTTTCCTGACAGATACATGTTGAAAATTCTTACTGGTGTCAGGAGCTGAGGGAAACTGCTCTCCTTTGGAGGCAGTCAGCTATATATCAGCTCATACTTGGAATACCTCTATTAAAAGCTGTTATTTTGCAGTGTTTTAAGGACAAAAGAAAGTCACACAAAACATAAATAATAATATGTATATGTTTTATGGGAATAGGTTTTTATATTTAATAACATTTATGCAAAGGCTGCCCAAATTCATTTATTACCTTTGGTGAATAGTTGTGAAGAACTGTTTCCCTTTCTCTGGCTTGTCTGGTTTTTTTTTCTCTTAACATTTTTTCATATATTTGAAATGCTGAGTTTATCTATAATGCTTTAGGAGAAGTTAAGTTCTCTGAACAGCCTGTTTCCTGGGGATGCTCTGTGATGGATCAAGATACCACTATAACAACATCCGGGGCCTCTGGTGGTCTAGTGGTTAGAGTGCCTGACTCTCACCTCTGCGACCCGGGTTCGATTCCTGGCCCCCTGGGCAGGTGGAGCTCGTCAGCCTTGGTAGGCAATCCACCTAAGAGAAGGTCACTCTAAACAAACCTACATCCTGGGGACCTCACTGCCACTGTCTCGGCCCCGGCAGATGATGGATCAAGTCTCACCTAAAAAATACTGCGCAGGCTGACCTTTAACGAAGAACATCCTCTTCATAGTGCAAGACTACATGGGAACTGTGTTGGATGACTCAGTAAGTGGTTTATTAATTTGTTTTTATCAAAATAATGACTGATATATTGCTAAATGTCCATTGCTAAATATCATTATTAGATGTTGGATGTAACAGGGTGTTAACTGGGGTACGGTCAAAAGCACCCACAATTAAGAACAGTCTGGTCCTAATCTGATAAAGTGGGTCCATTAATTTTTCTGTCTTGGGATTCAATCTCTGTGAGCAGAAACAATATTGCAACACTCCATGATTAATTGCATGGGGTAATCAAAATCTTTATGTAAGATTTTGCTTGGTCTCTGCACATGAAAGGTCTTGCATAGGCCTTATTTTATCTTCTTCATGAGAATCCCACCCCACCTGGCGCTTCTTGCCTGTCTATCTCAGGAAAGTAAGTATTTAAAGATTTTTGAAGATGCCCAGTGCTGTGGGTTGCCTTTCTTGTGCATCCGCAGACAATGTTTTGCACAATGACCAGGAGGAATGATGATCAAATACATCTTTAGAAATACCAAATTTGGGCACATTTGAGGTAACTGAGATTCCCAGCTATGTTCTTTCTGATAGCAGAGACACCATGAAAAACCAAGTGTGATGCATATCTTTCTAAGATGCATAAAGACTGGGACATGAAATTTATTAAGTCAGTTATTGAGACTTGAATAGATGATTGGAAGAAAGCACTAGATACATATTATAAAAGGGTAGAAACTTAAAAGGATTTTGTGTTATTAAGTGATAAAGAATGTATTTAATACATGAAGATATATTTTCTCAAATGTAAGTGATTCTAAGTCCAGGTTGTTGGATTAAAGTTGACAGCAATAAGAAAAATTCTCTTGTTTTGTCAAAAAATGTGTCATATCAGAGAAGATGTGTATCAGGCACAGCTTTAAAGTAAAGAAAAGTAAAGCTTTCAGAGAAAGCAGATTTATTTCCTTACTCTTGTATTAGCAATTGCTGTAATTCATATTTTAAATTTCTTCTTTTACTTACGCTTGATTTTCATGGTAATATTAATTGGGAAAATAATTCCTTCCTCTATAGATTGGTAGTTGGTATAAGAGAGGTGGGATCTAGAAAGGCTCTTGGATTGCAGGAAGTGCCACTTTCCTCCTCTATGAATATGTTGGTGGTCTCCAGAGAGGTTAAATGAGAAAAAAAGGAGCTAATTCCACTTGCTGCTCATAATAGCCAGATGGCCAGATGTCTCAGCCGCTGTTTGCTGTGGACAGTTAATTTGAGTTAGTGCTGTGCTCTGGGTAGAATTCAAGAGCCTTGTTTATGTTGGGAGAAAGGATCTGTGACCCTATCTCTTTTCTGTGTGCCAGGGTCTGGTAGAGGAAGAGCTGTGTTTGAGCACTGATGTGCTTTCATAATCTCAGCACAAAATGGAAAAGAATTAGTTTGAACAGTGATTTACAGAAACTCCGTGGAGGCATGTCTGCAATACCAAGAGACACCTGAGCTAAGAGAGACCTCTTGCCTACTGGAAACTGGCTATGTTTCTTCCCAGCTGGTTATGATCAAATGGTGAGTGTCCCCCAACCTACCTCCTGGGTTTAAAAGCACAGTATATTTAATGCTGAAACAGTGCAAGTGGATCTCATTGTTTTGAGTTGTGCTTGGGCTCCTTCACAATTTACGTCTTTTCTATGCAAAGCCAGGGTTGGATCCAGCTGCTCCATGAACAAGCCACTGTATGGCTGGCAGCACAAATCACCCCAGCTTCTCCCTGTTTCTCCCTGTTTCTCCCAGCAGGCTGTGTGTTTCTGTTTGAATAAGTTTAAGATCTTTAAATATTTACTTAGCTTTTTGCTTTCCTATTAGAAAATGATGAGACAGTTTGTTTCTAGTATATGCCAGGATCTTTTCAGCTTGTGAGTTTACCTTTCCTTAAATTACGAAGCACAGTCTTTACAGAGAGGGATGAGCAAGACATCACTGTAAGGCTGAACCAGAACTCATGTCAAAGAACCAGTTGTTGTTGAAGGTACAAGGCCATGACATGGTAGGATTTTCAAAGTCGCTCTGAGGACTTGCACTCTTAGATCCATTAAATATTAGCAGCCCTTTTAAACATCTACCTTTCTGCAGTGTTTTAGAAAACTTAGTATCACCCAGCAGGAAAGTGAGGTATTTCTTTCCTGTGGGAAATGCAAGAACAGTCAGGGGCTATTGGAAGAAAGGAGGAGGTGGCCAGCACCACCACACATGAAATCCTGTCCCCTAGAAGAAGGTTGCTATTTTGGGAAAAGGGAATATGGTGTCCTGAGACTCCAGGAAGAGGAGGAGCCCAGAAACAGCTGCAAAGAAAGGGTAGAGATGATGGCAAGCTGGAATGGTAACTGAAAATGTAGGAAAGGGGAAGAAGGGAATGGCAAAGACATTAATACTAATTTTATTTTGTGCACTTAAAATACTTTAAATATATATATAATTGCAAAGAGTCAAACAATGTATATGGCTGTTTGTCAGATGTTTATGCTTCAAAAATACAGTCAAGCTATTGAAACCTCAATATCCTTGACCCCACTAATTGGAAAATGCTTCAGCTATGATTTTTGAGTCTTTGATCATTATATTAATGTCAAATGTGTCTTCAGTAATCACACAACTACGTGGTAGATGAGGGAAATCAGACATATAAGGTTCAATGATTCCTGTGAAGAAAAGAGAATATTTTTCCTGGTGCAGATGCGATCAAAGATTAAAAAATACCACAGTGCATGCAAAATGATTACATTCTGTACTTATGGCAGAATTAGTCTTGGCAAATAGAAAATAATACCTTGCTGGGAGCAGACCAGCTACTGAGATCAGATTCATTGGTATGCTCTGGCTGCTCGGTGCTCCATCAGAGAGTACAGCTGGTTTATGTTGTCAGAGCAATAGAAAGCAGCCAGGATTTACAAGAGAAATGGGGCCAACATGTGCTTTATTTATGATTATTATTTTTTAAGATGAAATAAAACAAAAAAAATATTGTTGAGAATCACAAAGCCGATACTTGCTTTGTGACATGGCAGACTGACTGCAGTTACTTAAACCCAAACTACTCTTGAGCATAATTGCTGTAGCAAGCATCCACCCACTGGCAATGCACAGAACTCTCAGTCACCATTTCTCTGCAAGCAACCAGAGAGAGACAAGTGAAGTCTGATGTACAACCAGGAGAAGAGCAGTTTCATCCTGGATTTGATAAGGTAGTTTTGGACCACAATCCCTGCTATTATCCTGCCTTCTCTGTGCTGTGTGAGGGAGTTCCACTGTCATGGGGCAATTCACATATCAGTGCCAGTCCTTGAAATGCTGATTTAATCATTACTGAAAACGTGGCTGGGAAAGGGTTAACTGCTTTGAAAGTACTTATCTCTGCGACATGTTGAGACAAAGGTGACACACTGGTCACAGCTTCAGTCTCCTGCACCCTGCATGCATGCTCTAAAGGTAATTTGTGATTATTTTTTTTTTGCAACTGATTATATAAATTAAAACCTGTGACAATATTATCATTTATGTTACTGCCTTATGTTTTCTCTTGGAAATCACTATTGCCTCACCTGCAGTAGAGATGTTTGTGTGCTTGCTTCAATTCAAATTACTTCACTTGCAGACATACTGTGTTTTGACTGATTAAAGCAACCTAACTCATTTTGATGAAAGCCAACTACAGACTAATTGCCTCAGAGAGTCAGCAGATGTGACTGAAAAGTGTCTTCTAACTGAGGTCAGTCAAGAAGTTTTGCATCTTTAACTGGCATACAGGCCTGAAGACACTGTCTGTACACTGGCTCAACAAGCCTTCTGGTCATCTACCTTGTGCCAGCTGCCTGCCTCTGCTTGAGATTCAAAGCCTTGCTCCAGCAGAAATTAAGGCAAATAATGTGGTTTCAATCATCAGACAAAAATCTGCCCGGGATTATTTCTTTAATTGTTGTCCCTTTGATATTAACTTACCTCCACACAGGGAAGAGCCAACAAAGACAACATTGCCAAGTCATGCAGAAAAAATGCGGTGGTCGGTAACTGTATTAGGACCCAGAGAGCAGGAAAGCCTGGAACTGCTGCAAAGCAAACCCCCAGAACAAGAACTTTAGATGATCCTGTTACTCAGAGTAGGATTGTCATCTTCTGTATCAAATACCTCAGTAATATAAGAGATTTCATGATTTATTTTTTTTCCCAGTAAGTTGGATCCTTTTGTTTAGTTTTTAGATTTATGAGGAGAAGCACATATTTGAGAGCCCCACTTTCTCTACACCCATTAAGTTCATAAACCCAGTTTTATAATGTACTCAGTACCATCCTGTTTAGATGACCCCTACCATGGACAACTAGAAAGTGATCATACTGTTAATCAGGCCCTGTAAAACTAGCAAATAGAGAAAATCTGTTTCTCTCTTGCAGCTGACACTAGGATAACAAAGATACTGATACGGGTTGATATTTTTATAGGCATGGAGACAAGACTATTAAATTTCTCATTTTATTTTTTGTTTTGTTCTCACTGATTAGTGAAAATGGAGGATGAGATATATGACCTAGTGAGGGTTCAGATCCGATCAGTAGTTGAAACAAATTCTAGACATGAAAGGACTGCCTAGTGTTTAGAAATCATTAAAGGCTGAAAATTACTCTCTGTAAGGGAACTGGAATAAAACAGTGTTTTGGAAAATAAGCAAAAACTTCAGAAATTGCTTTCAGAAGTTCTACTGTAACATTGATTGTGTAACTGCCAGTTTTATAAACATTTAAATTCGAATTAATGTCTTGACTGCAGCAAACAGGCAGCAAAGGGCAACTGATCTTGCTTCCAGCTGTGCAATGATCAGTGACTTATTAATTGGACTTGTAAAATTAAAATTTGGTGCTTATTTTTTACTAAGCAGAATGGAGTTACTGCTGGTATTACTACATATGTATGCAAATGAACAAACATTACCTTTTGCTGTATACAATTTCTGAGTGATTTTGTTGATATTTTGTGATTCATTCTTCTAATACCAGCATATGCAAAATGTCATGCCTAAGAGGGGTCCATTTGTTTTGGGTTTTGCCTTCTGTTTCTTTTGGCTTTCTGTAGTTAAGCTGACGGAGAGCTTCACACCAAACCCTGGTGAAAATGAGTTGGTTGTGTGTTTGCTCTTCATCATATTTCACAGAAACATCAACAGGAGCATTTTACTTGGGAATAGCAGCTTATCAGAACTCCTGCAAAGCAAAAGTATTGCAGTTCTCAAGAGAGCCAAATAAACAGTGGGCATTAATCTGTTTCAGAAATAGAGGGCACTTGATACACTGCAGCAGCTAAAGTTGCTGAGATGTTTCTGCCTTTTTCCTGCTGCAGGTTTTTCCTTAGTTCCCTTAGTAGTTCACGTAGTAAAAATACCCACCAACTTTTGGTAGGTTCTATCGAACTAGGAGACCTAGGAATGAATTTGTATTGACCCAACAGAGGGCTAGTAACCTGCAATGGCAAAGCTGGCCATCTGGCTGGTGGTCACCTGGCTTCCACACCATCAGGTACAGCCTCCTGCCTGTCTGTGGAGCATGGGGTGCTGCAGCAAGCTGAACTCTTCTGCTTCTTTGTCTCCTGACAGATGTTACCCAGGAAAGGGCTGTGACAGCAACTCTCAATACACATGCTATCTGCCTCTCTGTTGCTATGTAACAGTGAGACTGAGTCTCATTGTTCAACTTACATTTTTATTTCTCTGGAATAACTTTCTTCTGGGGCCAGGAAAAATAAAATGTATTTCTTTAGTCTTCCCCCTTCTCATTCACTTATACTCCCTTCTTTAAAGTGTTACAGTTTGTCCAGGGTCTCTTTATAACTTGTTTCTTAATAGGAGAAGCAAATCTCCACATAATGCAGTCCCTATTTCCTTAACAATCAGAAATCTTCAAGCCTTCCTGACATCACCACCATATCTCCACCATAATTACAGTGACTTCCAAAAGTATTAGTTCTCCTGAAGCATTACATCAGGGTATAATGATATAAGGAATATGAAAGAAGTCTTTTTACACAGGAGTTTTATAACCTGTAGAAGATATAGGAACTAAACTACAACCTTCATTATTCAACTCCTAGTAATATTTTCTTTCTAGACCCCGTATTCCAGAACAGTCCAGAGAGGGAAGGGCAGATACAGGCCCTAAGCCATTTGGCTGGGGAGTCAGTCAAATCAGTTTTCTTGAGTCACACTCATCATGACCTTATCATCCTATTTCACTGAATAGTACTAATATCTCCCTAAAATATTTCACAATTAATGTACAAACTTTATCTGCAAGCAAAAAATCATTCAAGTAGGTATCTGAGATAGATTCTTCCTTTCTGTGAAACTGCAAAGTAATAAAAACAAACTCTACAGCACAGCCAAATACTGGTAACCATGTGCACCTTATGCTATAGGCACCTGGAAAGCCCGTGGTTGCCTAAAGGAACAGCTTCCTGGGAGAGCGAAATTATCATATGTATGGATTCAAATACCCCAAATTCATCCTACTAAATTATATACGTCAGACGTTAGGTAGTTTATGAATATGAATTGAGTATCACACAATGAGTGGAAATACTTTATAACATTGGTCTCTGAAGCTAGTGTAGATTGTTAAATATGTTTTCCTTCTTTGGAGGTTATATTCTTGGCTTGTTTTTATTTGAGTGACATGATGATTGATAGATGGAGTGAATGTAGCCAAAATAGTTGCACAGTTACTTGATTACAATGAATTCTGTTCATCCACCTTCACATTAACTTCGGGTTTGTTTCTCACAAACTTTCAGCTTCTGAAGTTTCTAGAGAAAATATTTTCAGACAATGAATTTCAAAACACTTTTCTGTATTTTTTTTGAAAGTTCTTGTGCGCTCTTGTCCCTGGGTAACAAGACAGCATGGCACCTGCACACCTTTATCAGGACAACCCTGTCAGGGAGGAAGAGATGGTCACAAGTAGAAAAGAGACCCAGGAACCAGACTGGATAATCAGCTGGGCGTTGTAATACAATGCCCATTAACAGTGGGAAAGAAATGCGATAGGTCTGTCTAGTATGCAAAGCAAAGGCAGAAGGGTGTAACTGTACAACAGTGACTTTACCATCTCTAAAGCCGTGCAGCTGGGTGAAGTTCAGGATGCTGTGATCAATTCATATTGTAAAGATCTAAAAGATAACTGTATGAAAATAATTTTGATGTTGTCACATTGTGAGCAGAGGCAGGAGCTAAACCAAGCAGTTCCTCCATGCATTAATGATACATTAAAGCTCACCTATTGTTTTACTTGCAGGGATTCTGTCTGTTATCTCTGCTTGCAAACATATATCAATATTTTTGAATATGGAAATAAGTCTAAAAAATTCAGAAGTCTAAAAAAATTCAAAATTACCAAATAAAAAAATTGTGTTAGAGATACTTATATATTTTTATTTATTCTCTGTTTTTCTTCCGTGCTTTGACAAACAGAGCTGACGCTTAAAAGCAACTATGGTCAATCCCATTTCCTTGAAAATCAATACCTGTCAGAGGAACATGAATTCAGGGTCAGAGATTTAATTTCTATAAACCCCAAAAGTGTTTCTATGTTTAATTTAAATGGATAGATGGTAGGATTTAAAGTTTTTATTTCTTTTAGTACCACCAAGTTCTGATTAGACATAAATTGTCTGTAAACTCTTGGTTAGATGTTTATACTTAAATTTAAATATGCTTCTATCTTCTCCTCATAGGTCTTTGTCACTTTCCTCTAAAGTGACCCTGCTGAAGTAGTTTTTACTTCATTCAGAGAGAATGTTTGAAAGCAAGTTATACTATTTATATATTTATTATATATATATAGGGGCCCCCTGGTGGTCTAGTGGTTAGGATGCAGCACTCTCACCACCACGGCCTGGGTTCGATTCCCGGTCAGGGGACTTCCCTGGGCAGATGGAGCTCATCAGCCCTGTAAGGCCATCCATCTAAGAGAAGGTCACACTAAACAAACCTACATCCTGAGGACCCCGCTGCCACCGTCCATGCTTGCTCGGCCCTGGCAGATGAACCTTAGGATTAAAGGGTGGGCTCAGTTCAGCGCACACTGTGTCTCACCTAAAAAAAAAAATCCACTGCGCAGGCTCGAAGGGTGATGACCTTTCCCAAATCTTCATTCACGAAGACTGACCATGATATATATAATATTTTAAGAGGAAGAAAGCCTAGCAATCCTTTCACTAGCTCAAATGGTGTCACTTGTTCTTTCAGAAGTGCCTGACCATCCACTAAATATCTGAGTCCTTTTGAGACAGCCTAGGGATATCCTGATCCATGAGTGCTTTAGGGAGAAATTTTTCTGTCGAAGGTGAAATTGATCATTCCCATTACAAAAGTTTGTCAGACCTGGAGCGAATTTCACATACAGCCCAGGTGGAAGTGGATTGAAAAAAAAGAGGTTTTGACTGCACCAGAAAAGTACACCAGGCTAATGGTTGTAGTGAGAATAGGAAAAGAAAGTTCTTTGACTTCAGGTCACCCTTAAATCTCATGTGAGTTGCCTACTGGCAAGCAGATGCACTTATCCCGAACAACCTGGGCCATCTCTATTAATCATGCAAGCACACCTTCTGATGTATTTTAGATGTACACTGGCAACAAGCAATTGGTAATTTTATGGTGGAAATAATCATTTTAGAATACCTTACAGCAAAGCTTTGTATTATTAAAAATGAGATCCCTGAAAAATTCATATTTGTTATCTTCCTTTACTACATCTATTTCACCTGATTGCATAAGTGTTGGTGCATGTCCAGGAGCCAGAAAACATTAAGATTTCAGATCACAGAATGTAGGAGAATGTATAGTCACATAGTCACAGTTGTGTATGAGGATGCAAACCCATTCTGATACTATCCAATATCTGTAACATTTAGATTAATTACCTTTTTTTTAATATTTTTTCTTCTTTTAAAGAAATTAACATCAGTCACCTGGAAATCAAGTACACTGAATTATTTAGCTCAATGCTTTAAATCTTTTTTAATCTGGATGCCTTTATTAATCACTGTTAGTCTTTATGAAATACTTGACAATCATAGGAAATAATGATGTATTGGGTAAGTAATCAAAGGTGAAGTAAAAAATATTGTTTTCTTTTGTAACAAGTGTACCAAGGGATAATTCATTGTTGACCTCATAACTGATGGGACGTTGTTATTGTTTTATATCAAAATGATGCTGAAGTTGTTTTGCTATAGCTGTACTCTTCATTACCATATCCATATCTATCTCATTTTCTGCCTTACAATCCAATTACTATGTAGTAGTTTTAATAACTAGTAAAATAGAATACCCTCCACTGCACCCTGTCAACACTGCTCTTCAACTCCTACTGAGGAAAAAATGAAATGTGGAAATGTTAGAGCATGGTTGTATTTTTGTTCTCCAAATAATTCAGTGAAACTAATCTTACTTTTTGGCTCCTGTTCTACAGCATGGTCAAGAAAAACTCTGCTGTGTTCTCATTCCTATTTGCAAGTCTCTCCTCTATCTACCTCCTCCCTCTGGTGACTGAAAATCCTGTCCATGGCATTTTACAAATGTTCACAAAGAAGAACAATATTTAGAGAGTCTTTAGTAAATTCTTCCTGTCTTTTTCAATCCTGTCATCACTCTTGGTACAGTCGACATGTGCTGGGGATGCTACAAGGGTACCAGGTTCAGCTACAGAACTGAAACACAAGTTTAAGGAGGGGGACAGGACATGTGGAATCATTTTTACTAGCTGCCATGATTTTGTACTCTTTTCCTCGGGCAGAGCATGAAAGATCTGTGCAAGTTGTTGTTTGTAAGGCAATATACGATTTTTTTTTTTTTTTGAGGAAATTTCTTTAACTTTATTATTTCTATCCTTGGATTGTGGTAACAGATGGTGAGGAAAAGAAATATTGCAGTTCTTAGCATGATGAGCGAAGGGTCTGCTCAGCTTGCTTTATCTCAAAAACAACTGAGAGGTGGCAGTAAGGGAAAGAAATCATGAATATGCACACTTTAAAATGTTTTTATATCACAACCACTAGGGATCACCCAGGATGTGCAGTCAGAAATATTGCTAGTATACAAAATGCTCACTTGTATACAGACACTGATACCAAAACACATAAAAAAACATGGGCTGCAACATGCAACTTTTCTCCTTACTTGAGCCTTTCTTCAAGGCCCAAGCTGCATCTAAACAGTGCCTTTGCTTTTTACAACAAGGAAGGCAATCCTGGTAGAGCAAAGCTTCTTTCAGTCATAGGGACTGTAAAACCTCTTGAAGTTTCTGTGTATCACCGACACCCACTTCACTTCTACAAGTTGAATGGCTTTACCTGCAGGAGCAGAGTGAGAAGGAAGGACTACACAGTCCAGGAGCAGGGGTGCAGAGATGGTCTCTGGGTAGATCTTAACACGGTCACTCCTCTCTTGCAACAAAGGAAGACCAGGAAAGGGAGTTAGCATAAAACAAAAAAAAGGCAGGAAAGAAAACTGAAGAGGACTTTATGTCTCTCTTGCAAATTCTCTTACAGAATGAGAAACTATAAAAAAGCCAAGTTCTTGTAGCAGGCACTGTTGCTTAGTCTACCCAGGTCCAAGTTCCTGAGCTCATCAAAAACTGGGAAGGCATTCAAGTTGACCCTACTCTACTGTCCCAGGTATTGCATATGCTCAGCAAGACCATTTGAATGGGCTGAAACACATCTGGAACACCATATATGCTCCAGATCTGCTTCTGGGTCATTTTGTGATGAGATATGGTACTGCTTCTCATGGAGAGATTTAGATGGTGCTAAGTCTGAGGGGGAATAAATCTGGACTGTTACAGTGTGATTCACCTTGGACAGGCAAAGCTTTTCCAGCCCATCTTCATTTCTATTTTTAGGCACAAGCTCAGAAACCATAATTTGTAAACTAGGTTAGTCAAAATATACAAGAGAAAAGGAAGGACAAAAGAAGTCAGTCTTTTATTTCAGACTCTGTGTTCTTTTTTCCCCATTTTATGCTCATTTATTATTAATATTTTACAACTATTGTAATATGTTCTTAGTGGTTTACTAAAAGGGATAGAGAAACCTGTCCTATTTTGGAGGTATGATATATATTCAGAGGAAACACAAGAAAAGTCCTTTTCTACTGATGCTCAACATGTTTTTTCTGCTGAGCTCCCTGCTGTATCTCACAAGGAGATTTTTCAAATTAATTTAGTCAGATTTCCCGAGAATCAAGAGAACAGCATAGTATTTATTTCATGCTAATCAATTCTCTGACTTGCATGAGGAGCTAGCTAATTTATTTGCAGAGAGTGGCATTTTGATTACAGGCAACGTGGGTAAAAGATTAGGTTTGTGGCAAGAAAAATTTCTGTAAATATTTTGGTGAAACTATGTGACAAGGAAGGTATTTCTTATGCTGTTTAAAAAATTATAAACTGTTAGTCTTTCCTATAAATCTCTTGAAAACGTTTATGTTCATGGACTTCTAAAAATACATTGTACAGTATCAGTACATTTGAAGACACAGCGAGAAATTATTATTATCATCTAATATAAATTGCTATCAGTATAGAATGGTCTTTTATTATTAGTATAACTATCCTGTAGTCAAAGCTGCTGTTTCTTCCTCTTAACATGGGTTAATATTTATTAAAATCAAAGTGTGATATGCTCCTTTATGCTTGGGGATTCCTATCATGTTTAGCAGTAGTTTCCTGGAGTAAAATGAGCTTTTCTCAGGTGGGCAAAAGCATTGCTGCTGGGAACAATTATAATGCTGAATTTTGCATACAGAGGTAACTTGCATACAGAGGTAATTTACAAACTTAGACAAACTAATTTAGTGTCTGTACCTTCAGCCCTATGTCAAGGTAGACTCTTAGAGTCTCAGTCTCAGTTGAAGCTTGTTTACCCACACAGTCCTCAATTCTCTGTAGTGGTACAGCTGTGGAGTGTAGTTTTTTGGTTTTGATGTAACTGTTTTTCTACTTGTGGAGTATTTTGAGCTCTATCTCTGTCAAGAGAATGTGGCCATGGGTGCTGATGACAATTCCACTGTGCACCAAGGTGGATGCTCTGGGCCTCTGCCTCAAGCAGTACCTCTGCCTGGTGGCTCCAACGGGTTCCTCATGTAGCAGCAAAATGTGCAAGCATAGTTAACAGTTTCAGATGAAAATTTTTGCATCTACATGAAAAATACCATCTCTTCTGCTCAAATGAGGAGTGTTTTTCCTGACTCAAGGGGGATTATGGTAAGGGTAAGCCTGTGTGACAGGCAACAGTGCAGCAGAGGTACAACCAGAATTGCTAGATCTGAACTTGCAAAAATGGTGAGTCTTCCAAAATGTCTTGTTATCCTACTAGAAAGGGGAAAAATATCATGCCACTTCTATTGTTTGTTGATATATTAATTTTCTCAACTTGCTGGCCTGTTTCCTCTTACATTTTTTTGGTCCCACTATCATGTCTACCATCATTTTGAAAGGAAGGTGTTATGTTCATGGAGGGGTTTGTAACTTGAAACCAGCTATCTGTACTGGACTGTTTCTAACTCCTAGTGGAATGCAGAATAATTCATTGAACTAGCTTTATGGTATACACCAAGAAACACAGATGCTCCATGTTGGTTTCTTAGGAAGCATTTAAAGACCTTACTGGGCTTTGCAAATTCTGCCTTCAGCCTCAGATTGTAAACTGAACTCAGCTTTTGAAGAAATATATTTGTATTCTTTTCAACTCAAACAACCTGCCCCAACTTTCCTTGCTGATAGCAACTGTTGTACCTTTTAGCATGTGCTCCAGTCTTTCAGAAGAAATAAAATTTGTGAAAATCTACCATGTGAGATGAGGCATTAGGAAATGAATAAGTAACTCGATGGGAATGGAAATGAAAGTTTCCATTATATAGTTATAGCTCCTTCAGCAACTGACAAGTAAAATATTGATAATAAATCATATGCATGAGCTTCACAGGTTTAGCCATTGGATTCAGTTTGACTACTGCCTATGGTGTCTGACCTGCTGTGAGGCAGCATAATGACAGCACATTCCTTTGAGAGAAAAAAATTCTTCTGTTTAAGCTGAAGATGGATGCTGTTTCCATCTGCTTCAAACTTTTCAGATTGGATAGGCATCATTTTAAATGGCAGCACATGTTCTAGCTGACAAAAGATTATTTAAAATGGTAATATTTTAAATCATGAATTATGTCACATAACCAGGATTACATAAACTAACAGTTTATGTAAGTTTATTTTGTGGTCACAACACCAAGCCTGACAGAGTTCAAGAATGGTTTGGATGACACTCTCAGGCACATGGTATGACTTTTAGGGATGGTCCTGTGCAGGGCTAAGGGTTGGACTCAATAATCCTTGTGTGTCCCTTTCAACTCAACATATTCTGTGATTATGTGATTCTCCGAACATGAAATCACACAGTTCTTTAAATCAACCATCACTTACAACACATACATGTGCTTCTTCATTAGGTGTCTTACTCCATGAAACAAAGACAAATGTTCCATTTTATGGATTATAACATCACTAATACATAAACTCTCTTTCAAATGCCTTTTGTGAAATCTCCTATTAAACTTTTCCTCTTTCAATTATGATTTTTCTAGCCCAGCTAAGTCAGATTTGGCTTTCTGTTGTATGAAGTAAGCTATTGTTCATATGCTAGATCTTTGCCTTGGACTTTAATTTTCTGAGCTTTTGCAGATTCATTTTGTGGTGTTACTATATTGGTGTCAGAAATACATAGATATTAAATTGAGGCTTCACAAAATCTCCAGGAGTGCACGCTAGATGGATTTCAAATCATTCTGTTTTCCTCTTTATTAGTTTTTTTATATCCCTCAATTTGGCTTCAATTCAGGGAAGCACTCAAGCAAGTGCTTAGCTTTGAGAATGTGCTTAAATCCATTTTTTTGTTGTTGTTGTTTTTGTTTGTTTGTTTATTTTTTGGTTTTTTTTGTGTGGAAATGTAGGCTCATACTAAGGGCTTTGCGAAGCAAGAAATGTTGTTATTTTCCCACAGGATGTCCTCCATATTTTAGCCATGTGTTTGCCTATTACTTTAAATTGACATTTCTGTCCCTCTCCTGGGACCCAATCACCTCTAGGCCTCTAGGCCCCTCCCCAATCCCCGTTCATCCACCCCCCTGTTCTGCCCCATTTCACCCCTCAGCACACCCCTTCAGGAATTGAGTCTGGGGGAGTTTGGGACCCCTCTTTCATCATCTTCCTCTTCATCATGGACAGTCCTCGGAATCCTTCCAAACTTCTGGGCATGAAGGCTGTTGTCCATGTTTACATTCCTTGGGGCAGGGATTAAGGTGCTTTCTGCAAATCTACGCTGAAAAGAAGACTAAACAGCTAACAGACTTAAAGGAGTTTTGATATGGGAAGGGGGTGACAGTGTTGGGAAAATGTGTAAACTACTGTGCTAAAGGGTGAGGGATATAATACAGCTGCTTTAAAATCTACATTCACTACATAACTACTTCTAAAGTCTATAAAAATTAAAAAATCAAAAACTCTAAGGCAACAATAGCTATGTTATTTTAACCTGGGATGAAGCTGCTTGAGCTAAGCATTTAAATAAACAAAATAATGTCTTTTGCAGCATAACTACTTTCAGAAACAGTGCTAACATTTCTCTATTTCTATCAGATAATCAATAAAAATGCTTTTTCCCCTCACCCATCCTTTTTTGTTTTTAATGACTGTTTCTGGGCAGAAAGGGGTAGCTTAAAACAATCACTGCTAAAGGAGAGAATTTACAAATCCAATGTGTTTCCTCTCTCAGAAGAAGACCCATCCAAACGAAAGACTAGGCTTGTCAACGCAAAGTATCTGGTCTCTGAAGTTGTGCACGCTTTTAAGGAGGTGCAGGTATGAATGTCTTGAATTATTTTGATACTACTGTAAACTAATAGAATAAATGTATTTGGCAAATCCTTTTGGTATATGAAAACAGGTCTCCCAGTTACTCAAACCAATGAGTTTTCCTTATGTAATTCTCTAAGCACACAGGCTTCTGCTGCCATGAACTTCCCTACCGGTGGGGAAAAGTGTTTTGAGGATATTTAGAGTCTTGTACACCCCACATTCTTCCTATTGACAACTAGACCTCCTTTGAGTCTATTTCTAATAATACACAGAATGAAAACTGTGAGTCTGGAGGAGACTCCATCATGGCCAAGGAAGTAATCAAGTATCAGTCCTTTCTATTAATTCAAGGACAGTGTCTGACCATCAGAATTAGTTTTTGCTCACCAGGGTTTCATCTGTTCTGCACTTCTGTGTCAGACATTCGTTTGCAGAGAACAGTTATGAGCATGTTTCATTTACCAGTCATGGTTACCAAGACCACAGAGAAGCTGTGTTAGATGCGGATACGGGACCCATC